ACGTCGCCCGCCCGCTGTGGTGACGAGGCCCCATCACAAATCTTCACTCCTGTCAGCACAAAACTGTTCAATCAACAGGGGCAGGAGTTCTGTCCTCTGTGAAATTAGCACAGGAGAAAATACCAGGGCCTGGGCGCCAACCCTGGCCATCTGGGTCTTAAATCTAGGAGACGCCTCCCCAGCGGTGGCCAGGACAACCACGAGGGTCCACTGTGTCCTCCTCCTTCCCAAAAGGAAGGGCTCAGATCTCGTCTACCAGTTCTCGGCTCACCTGAGCGAGCGTGTACCGAACACGTACTCTGGCCTGGCGTCCCTGGGTGATGCAATCAACACGCCCGGCCACTAACCAAAAGGTTGGGGGTTTGAGCCCCCGACCGGGCACCCCAGAAGGAAGGCTGATGGTCTACTTGCTGAAAATTAGCCCCTGGAAACTCTGCGCGGCAGCTCCACTCTGACACACATGGGGTCACCATGAGTCAGAGCTCAACTTGGTGACGACTGGTTATAGTGTCCCGGGCCTCATTCTCGGCCCCTGGGGCCCCAGCTCACAGGTGAAGACGTGACACACAGGAAGGGGGAGTGGTCAACCAGACCTGCTGTCACCCCCAGCAGCTTGGAGAGGCCAGGTGGGGGTACTTCAGGAAGCAGGGGGCACTGTTGTAATAGAAGGGCCATAGGCAGACGTGGTCTGTTTACAGCTGCCTAGTGCCACCAGAGCACACTGCTGCCCCCAGAGATGCTGCCTCAGAAGGGCAGGTGGAACCTGGTACACGAATGTCCACAGGGGCACGACAGTGTGGCCTGTCCCCACAGCTGACTGCCATTTTCACTGTGATAATATACAGAAGGTGAGATCGGCCATTTTCAACCTTTTGTAAGTACACAATGCAGTGGCATGAACTACCCCCACGTGGGACCACCCATTACCTTCAAGTTTTCCCCCAACCCTCAGGCCCATTCAGCAACGACTCCCTCCCTGCCCTCCAGCCCGTGACCACCAACAAACTGTCTCTGCATCTGCCTGTCCCAGGTAGTTCACCTAAGTGGGGGGAGCAGCTGGCCAGCGTGAGGCCTCAGGGTTCATCCGCGGCCCTCCAGCAGCCACTGGGTACAGACCACGCTCTGTTCATCTGTCCGTCTGCTGAGGAACGCGGAAACCTTCCACTTTCTGGCTTGTGAACTGTGCTGCTGTGAACACGGGTGCATGTGTCCCACCAAGTCCCACGCACGGACACAGGGAGTGCTGTGAACGCAGGGTGGCCAAGGCCTGACTGTCAGCCTTTGCAGGCAGCTCGGCTTCTTCCCCGCCTCGGAGAGCAGCCCCAGGGCCCAGGCTTGTGGACCGCCAGCAGGCGGCGCCAGCCCCCTCGGGGCCCGCCCATGCCCCAGAGCGGGCCTGGAGGCGCCCTCTGCAGAACCGGAAGCTGGGGTACAGAGGTCTTACTAGATGGCCAAGGCTACGTTCGGAGAGGTGGGGGCGCGCGGCCCTCGCGTCACCCTAAGCCAGCCATGTTCCCCGCAGAGGCCACCTTGCAGGGGACGGGGTGGGGCTGGCGGCCGGGAAGGTGCTTTCCTTCCTTTCATCCACCTGCTTCCATGGGGCGAGCGCTGCCACGCTACGCCGCCAGCAGAACCCGGAATCTCCCGCCACCCACCTGGGGCGATCACTTCCTGACCCACAGTGGACGTGATACAAGGCCATGAAACTGTTTGTTACAGACTAGTAAGCACAGGTAAGCCCGTGCTTACCTTGCCAGGTGCGGGACTCCGACTCCCAGTCACCCAGGGGGTGCGGGGAGCTGGCGGATTCTCCCGACGTGAACAGCATTAGACTCGGACGGCCTCCCCAGCTATGCCGGCCCTCGGTTGAATTATACTATTTAATCCCGTTTGCACGGAGTCCTCTTCTCCCGCGAAAGGGCAGGCCCAGCCTTCCACACCCCACCCCCGGAACCAACCAAGTTGCCTGCGCCTACTGGCCCGCCCCTCCTGCCCCCCACTCCTTCAGGCCCCGATTTATGCCCCTGGGTCCCTCTTTTTGCCACTGGAGCCCCTTCCTCCCAGGACTCGAGGACCCCGTGGTTGCAGAACCCAGGGCGCCCCGCGGACGGCACAGGTGCACCCACAACAGAAGCCCCGGGCCCCTCTCGGGTACGGCCCGCCCGCCCCAAAGCCCGGCGGGCTGTAGATTGTTCTAGGCGTGCCACTGCGTGTCTGGAACATCGAGGCTGCGGCCTGCCGCCTTTCTCGGCGCCTGGGACAGCCAAAGGTCAAGAGCTCTCCCCAGACCTCAGGAAAACACCGCCCACAGCCGCCACCCGGGCCGCATGCCAGCTCAGAGCCCCTCCGCTCCCGGCTCATTGGCGCGTGCGCGGAAGAGCAGCTTGGGGACTGCGCGCGTACGCCCGCTACGTCGCTTGCGCAGGACAATCTTCGTCGACGACGGTGTACGCGGGAGGGGGGGGTGACGCCACGGGCCGCTCGCAGAGTACGCACGCACGCCGCCCGGGGAAGCGCCGAGTTCCGGGATGCTAGCGTAAGGCTCGCGAATGGGGCGAGGAGGTGCTGCTCGGTGCACGGCGCAGAGGGGGAGGTGAGGCGCGCCCTACGGTGGCCGCCGAGGGACGCGGTACGGCGCCCACGCTGGGCCAAACGCTGCCGCCGGCCGGGTCCTGGTGCCCCTTCGCCTACAGGGCGGTCCCGGGCAGGGGCACGTGAAGCCGGCCCGTGGCCAGATCCTGGCGGCCACCTCGTCCGGCGCCCCAGGCCCTCGCAGTGACCGCGCAGGGCCGTGCGCCCTCGGCACCATGAGGCCACCCTGCTCTTCGCGCCCCGAGAAACAGGGGAGCCCGCAGTCCCGGCCCCCAGCATCGTCGCCAGCCCCCCCAGTGGCTCGGGACGCCGGCGCCGCCGTGGAGAGGGCACCCGGTGAGCAGGCTGGGGGGGCTCGGCCAGAACGGGAAGCGGGCGGGGGCGGATGACCTGACCGCTGGGCCGCGCCGAGGGCGGAAGTGGCGGCGGAACCGGCAGACCGTCTCCAGGGCAACGGGCCGGGCGGAGCGCGCGGGACCCGGAAGTAGCTGGGGCCTTGCGGGTCGCCGGTGCTACCCCTGGTATGCCGGCTCCGAGAGACCCGCGAAGGGTCGCTGAACCGTGGTCCCGGTCTCAGCAGGCCGCCAGAAGCGGCACGTGGGGCCCTGGGGCGCGAGAGGCCGGCGCTGCCCACAGCCCGAGCGCAAGGCCTCCTGCGGGACTGAGGGAGCTGCAGCACCTCCCCTGTTAGCAGCGGGCCGGCCGAGACGGCGCCAGCGCTGGTCTCGGACCCCACAGCGAATGCAGCTGTTGACCCGGGAACCTAAAGTGCCTGCCAGATAGGCGCGTTCAGTTCCTGGGTCTCCCGGGGCCCACGGAAGCCCCTGTTCCAGAGCAGGCGATGAAGCCATAGGGGACCGACCAGAGTCGGCTCCAAGACAGCGACCTGCGGAAGGGAGCCTCCTAAGGCTTCCTGCCGTTAGCGCCTCAGGTGACCCCCGCCCCACGTGCTGCACTGCCACCTGCTCCTGCCCTGGACTGAATCGGGAGACCGTTGCAGGCACACACTGCTCCTGCGATGACTTTTAAAACGATACTTGCAGTGGTCAGTGTGAGCAGGTCGTGGCGAAAGAGTTCAGTCATGTGCTAGTGACTCCGGGTCTTTGCGGGCCCGGCGCCCTCGGCTCTGACGGGAGAGGGCGCTGTGGTTTCCCAGTTCTTGGACGTGGCGGGCATGAGACGAAGCTCGAATAAAGCAGCCACCCTTTGGGTGAAGTGTCGTTAGACTAGCGCTCTCCGAGGAGGAGAATAAAGAAATGTAACGCCTGGGAGAAAGGGCGAAGGCTCCTGGACGCCGCGGGGAGGTGGCAGGGGCGGGGCTGCACGGCTCACAGGCGCGCCTCCTCCC